AGTATATTTTAAGGTCATTCAACCATGGAACAGAATGACTGTGTGGGCTATCAGAAACTGGTTTTTTTTCCAGTCAATAAAACACTTCAAGTCCTAAAGAAAGAGAGATTAACAAACCTTTTCAGTAATTTCAAATAGCAAATAAATCAGGGGAAGAATGTATAATTTGTCTTTTTTTTTTCCCTGAAAATCTGTTATAAAATCACAGACAAATAGATGCACTTCCTTCCAGTTCATTGCTTTTCTGGTTTATAAATTGAATGATTCAACTTTTGTCTTGTCTTCATTAAATAACTTGGCTTGGTCAGACTCAAAATATTCCTTATAAATAAGATAATTTTGCCATTTAAAAATAATTTTCTCTCTCCTGAAGAACACAAAGCAAAATGAAATGAGCCATCCCTTTTTCTTCATTAAAAAAAAATGGCTGGATCTTATAAAACAACAATTCATCTTTCTTGCCAACAACTCCCACCATTTCTGGGAAAATTTTCAAACTAAATAAACTTGTTAATGATTTCCCAAGAATGCATACCTGCATTTTTCAACCAGCCCCTTTCCAAATGTTAATGGTGGCTTATAGACAGTTCTTCTCTCTGGAGGAAATGACTGTCTAAAAATGGCAGCTATGGTTACTGGTGTGGGAAGACAATCTTCCAGTAAAAGACTGCATATTAACAACAACAAAACATAATAGATAAGTAAATAAATGAAAGTAAGCATTTTCAGGCTACAAAAAAAGCCACAGATCTTTAGCACTAAGTGGGTTCAACTATTGGAAGAGTTAACCCCGGGCAAGGCAGCCTCTTGATAATTTAAAGTATTTGAATCAAGTCTGGATGCTTTTCTTAAAGGGCTTCTCATATCTTCTCATGGTTACGTCTCTACAGTCTGGGAAGATGTGGAGAGAACCCAGGAGAAACAAGGAGCAGTCAGGAAGGAGCTGATGGAGGGCAAGACAGCACTGGAGACCGAGCAGAGGTTTGACAGTGTTTAGAAATGTCTGACTTCTGCTGTGGTTTTGTGCTTTTGAAGTGTTGCTTGTAACTGTAGTGTGAAATGGAAAAATAGGGTCAGCCTGCCTGGCACAGAACTAATAGAGCAAAAGGTCTCCAAGGTGCAATTCAGTCCTTCCAATAGACGGACTTCTATAGGCTTTCCAACAGCCATGCTGAACTCCTGTAGGAAATACAAGGTTACAGAGGTGTGACCACGCTTTTTTGAGTCAAGGATCCCAAAGCCTCTCACATCCCTGCTCTCCCAATAAAAGTCCGTTAAAAATTCGGTGTCTCTATAAGTAATTGTTTTATGGAAAAGGAGGAGCTTAATGCTGTAAATGACATTGGTGTACAGGTACGATGATTACATAAGTAATGGGTAAATATTGCTGGAAAATAAGAATTGCAGTCCATAACAAAGTGGGGTTTCTCACTGATTTGGTTTTTGAAGCCAATTCATTAATTGATCTTTCTGAGTTTTTTGTTGTTATTGTTGTTTGTTTAATTTGCAGAGAGGAAGCATGAGTGCCTCAGAGACCAAGTATATAAGAATACATTATTTAGCAATATTTATCATTAAAAGATTTCTTCCCTTTCCTTATTTCATGCCCAAATATTAATAACTGATGAGCATTTCCCTGGGAATTTTCACTTTAGTATCTGCATTGAATTTGAAAGTCCTCTGGTCAGGACTCTCTAGACTTTCCTGAGAAGAGAATATGTTGTTGAAAAAGTCACCTATATCTCAGCCATCCATGTCCTGGCCATGAGACTAATGTCAGCTGAGAAGTAGCTAAGGATCCTTAGGAGCTGTGTTGGTCCTTACTGTCATTCCATTGATTTCTTTGGAGTTATCTAAAGGACAAATCAGGCTCTGGGGTTATATTTGATGAGTGGACAGCTCAGAAAAGCTAGCCAGAAATCTCCAGGTGTTTGTGCAAGTTGAAAGCACTACCACTTTGGCCTTGATTCCATTCGCACTTACACAGGTATGACTTAAAAGGGATGTCACTGAGTCAGATTTACACCCATGTTACTTGGATACAAGCAAGAGAAGGATTGGGCAAACTGTGCCTAAAGCCCCTGTGGATTTGAGAGCCTTCTCCAGCAGATTAGGTAGCTTTTCTTTCTATCCTTAGCAACACAGTCCTGATTAACCCTCCAAGCTACGGTCAGTCATTTTGAGGACAGTTTGATTGACAGCACGCTAATGCTAATGCTTTCCCCTGCATTGTGCATTGCATTAGATCCTGGAGGTGGTTGGTTGGTTATATTGGTGGGTTTTATGTTTTTGTTTTTGTTTTTGTTTGTTTGTTTTTGTTTTGTTTTGTTTTAAACCTCTTGGATATTCTCTAAGAAAAAGTCTTCTTGAGCACAAGGCATGAAGTACTTCAATGTAAGTACAAAAAATATGCATTGAAGCTTCTCTGTGTTAGTTATCTATAAATACATGTATTTGGGCAATATAACCCTTTCTGTTGCCTCGAAAGATATTCAGGAGAATCCCCTTCTCATTCCAGCCCTTGAAATGGACTATACTGCACTCCTCCCTGTGGGAGCTGGTCATGTTTTATGCAATTTTTTTTTTCATGCAATAGTGCTTCATGAAAAAGCTCTCTGATAGACCATATTTGGGTGAGTTACCAACTTTGTCACCCAAGACTTAAGAGTCAATATTCCTTTGTACCAGGTGATCCCTTAAGAGTCTCATGGGATTATTCCTGGAGAAAATGGTTATTAGGAAAGTATTTTATGATTTACCCCCTATTTTAAGTTTTTATACTTCTTTTAATGTGATTTAACAACTTGAAAAAGTAGAATAAATCACTGGGAAGCAGTTAGATTTCTGGGAATACAGCCAACATTTCATGCACCACCATTGGTCCAGAGATCACAATTTGTCTGGATAATGGGTTTGTTTGGAAAGTATGCTGCCGGTATCTGAAAGTGCTAATGTGGGACTCATGAGACAAAGTTAGGGCCACCCTTCTGAATGCTGTTGAAAAGTAGAGAAATGAGATATGTTTTTCCTGGAAGATAGAGTGATGGATTGACCTTTAACTGGGAAATATATAAATGAATAATTGCTTGGCGAAATATGTACATGGAAAGAATAAATCATACTGAAATCTGTGTCAGTATGCAAGGATATCAAAAAACAGAGATGTGTCAAAATAATAATCTTCCAAATGGTGCCTAATGTTTTTTCTCACCTAGTCCAGATTAAACTTTCATTTATTGCAGAAATGAATTTGCCGTATTGCAAAGTGCACTAATATTTCACTGGAGAGTAGCACAGAAAGAAATAATGGTTTTGTTCTGAAATGTGGATAAAATCAGTGTTTACTACTTTTTGAATGCTGCCCCTCTGAAAACCAATGACAAAATTCTCATTAATTACAGTGGTGAAAGAACTGGTCCTCCAAAGTATTATTTTCTTGAAGTTAAAACCTCATTCGACTGCTGCATGAAACCTGTAACCAGCAATGAACTGAAGGAAATGTCTCATTAGCAATACCTTTATTGCTTTATAACTCATTTGAAACACTAAGGAATTTCCTTCTTCTAGAAGACTTTTTTCCCAGTTTGCCATAGAAAACTGTCATCAATTAAGAACATAATTTAGAAGATAAATTGTGTGTAGACACTTGTAGAGAACTTTCTTCTGCAAGCTACAAGAAAACCTGCTGTATTCCCTACTAGTAGTTTAAATGTTTTTCCCTACTAATAGTTTAAATGTTTTGTTGCTCCTATATGAGCAGTAATTTCTGATCAGAAGGTGAGGTCTCTAAATGCAGAAGTCTCTATTTAAGTTAGAGTAATTAAATTGAACTATGGGTTCATTTTTCTTTTTATAATGATCTTATTGTCCTGTCTTTCTTACTCATATTGACCTATCTTGTCATATTCACTATTACCGATGTCTTAGCGCTTGTAAAAAGTGGATTTTTGACATATCAAAAAGAAAGCACTGTCTGTTTTGTCATAGTCTTTCATTCAATGTGGGATATGATTTTTGTATTCATTATCTTCACAGACAGCACAATAGATAAGAATAAGCAAGAAAGACTATGGCACAGCCTCTTTTTCACTTGTCTCCATCATGGTAAAGATATTTAAAATATTCTTACAGTGGGTTCAAAAACTTGGTCTTCAACCTTCAGATCCAAACATGTAAACCAGATTAGCATTAAAAATGTAGGACACCAGGAGCTCCCACACAAACTGAACATATTAGTCTCCTCTCATCTCTGCCTGCCTGGCTAAATTCAAGTTTTCCTTCAGTTTAGCAGACCCACCTTTTGCAGTTTTAATTGCCGTCTTGAAATATTTCTTACTATATTTGCTCACACAGCTGGCATGAATTTTCATCCAGATTTTGCCTTAACAAACTACAGCATGGCCATGTTCATCTCTTCTAAAATCAGATTATTCTGCCCCCTCAGTTTGACCACCACTCAGGAGAGGTTGTGCGCTGCAGTGTGCAACCATTCCATGAACCAATTTAATTTTTTTTTGTTTTGCTCCAGTTCACAGGGCTAAAGGGTTACATGAGAATCTCAGCCCTCTGCTTGTAAAAATAAAGCCAGAGCAATCATTGTCTCTGCTAGTTTGGGAGAAAAACCTCAAAAATATAAGCAAGGAAGACACAAAGCTCAAAAGGACAAAAATACACAAATACCGGGTTTTGTGGGTTTTGCTTGGGGTCTGACTCATGCTTTTTGTGCCTGAAGGGCCACTAACACTGACCAAATTCTCGTTGTCCAAGGCTGGTTGAGCTGTGAGGAGCAGGGTTATGGCCACACTTGCTACTGCATTTTTCTACCTGAGCCGTTGCATTCACAGGTCTCTGCCTGCAAATCTACCCTTGTTCAAGAGTACTTAGTAAACCTGGTGTGATAAAAACAAACTCTACTCCGTGCTAATAAGGCATTGATTCTGCATGACTCAAATCCTACTCTATTCTTGCTTCCTTCTTGCAGGTACCTCTAAGCAAGCGGGATGACTCAGGTGCCTGCTGACTACCTGTCCACCACCAGCTCCTACAACTATGAGCAGCCCCTTCCAGCCGTTGGTCGGACGAGTAATATCACCCACGTCCCCCCCGCCAAAAAGATAACCTTCTTCAAGAGCGGGGATCCTCAATTTGGAGGGGTGAAGATGGCCATCAACCAGCGAAGCTTCAAGAGCTTCAATGCGCTCATGGATGACCTCTCCCATCGAGTCCCACTGCCATTTGGGGTACGAACCATCACCACCCCACGAGGAATACATTGCATCAGTGAGCTAGACCAGCTGGAGGATGGAGGATGCTACCTTTGCTCTGACAAGAAATATGTCAAGCCTATTAGCATCAGCACTGCTGGACAGAGGCCAGCCCCTCCACGAAATGGCCGTCCCTCCAGTACTCTGAGGAGAGCAGCTCAGGAGGGAAGACTTGAAGATTATTCTGCTCCTTTCACTCACCACAGCCACAGAATACCCAAGAAAATCACTCTGCTCAAAAATGGAGAAATTGGTTTCCGGCGCTCCATTATTTT